GGCGTCTGTCCAATTTCAGGAAGTCTGCACAGAAAACAACAAAGAGATTGAATACAAGTGACTGATGAAAACTGTCATAATACTGACATTTTGAAATATCAGTTATACCAGACTATGAGCAAATTCACAGATATTAAAATCAAATATTATCTCATGAAAAAAAATTGGTTCATCTAGATCTTTTCCTGTCATAGTTCAGTGAGATTTACCAAAATATCAGAGAAAAGCATTTAAAGTGATTCATCCCTGCATGATCATTTGCGCTCAGTGACATGATTCCCTTTCTGTCATTTGCTATATTGCTGGATATTTGATGTAAACAAAGAAAAAGTGTTCAAATGTGACATGAACGTAATTCACATACAATTTCCAAATAAAGAAGACATCCTGAGCATAAAACTTTTGATCACGTCTGTACAGGATGTTACAGCATTATTCTATTGTTTCCACTGTCATATGTATAATAATAGTTTACAAGGCTATCATTTGATATAACACTTCGAACTGCTTGATACAACGTCCATTATCCGTGACCAAAGGTAATTGGACAATACAGGCCATGATGCTACGAGTCATATGCTAATTCATGCAAATTAGACATAATGCAGTTACAGCAGTAGATAAATTGGCAGAAATATTATTTTTAAAACAAAACAACATTTATTTGATTTTATTTACTGTTATTGAGTCACGTGAGTAATTAATGTTTTCCAGTGATATTTCCCACTAAACTTCATAGCTGTGATATATAATATTTTGACTCCAATATAAAAAAATAATTGCACTGTGACAGAGTTCATTAATATTCATGAGCGACCGGCACTCCCATTGGGCTGGCGAGATCCCTGTATACACCATGGTCATGTTATAATCTTTTGTACAGCATGAAAAGACATAAAGAACCACCAGACAGACAGAATTGAACATTGGATAAAAATTCCCGTCACTCTGATACCAGTGTGATTTTGGTGCTTACAGCAATGTCTGATTCACATACCCCAATCCTTGTAAAGTGCTTGGTTTGGTTGGTTTTGCAGGAAAACTTTCAGACACCAGTAACCTAATACACCTGTAAGACAAATAAAACCATCATAATGCATGTTCATTTAATTCAATTTTGTCTGCATGAATTCCGTCAAATTACTAGTATCAGTACACATACAAACTATTGTATTTGTGACACAATAACACAGTAAAAACATAAAATACAGGTACTACCATCTGTGATCAATGCTAACACTGGAGGATCATACATATCTGAGATATCAAAACTTTCTAAAGGTACTTACCATCTGTGGTATGTTGTCAATGCTAATACTGGAGGATCATACATCTCTGAGATATCCAGACTTTCTAAAGGTACTTACCATCTGTGGTATGTGATCAATGCTAATGCTGGAGGATCATACATATCTGAGATATCCAGACTTTCTAAAGGCACATCAATAGGTGCCTCGGTGCACTTCAAGAAATCTTTCAATAACCCATGACCTAGATGCATAGGTAAGCTGAAATAAAATCAACAAACTATTGTGTATTACTGCTTCAATTTTCGTTTAGTGGGTTGGCAAGAGTACTCATTGTGTGGAGTGTACAAATGCAATCACAGGTTGCTATTTAATAGCACATATAGCTGTAATCTGGCCACCATTAAAACACTTTGCTGCAAAGTAACAATGGTTCATACAAACTTCAGTGAACTGATAAGTACCCATGATATTTCTATTATTGATGGATTTGGATCAAACACTATATATATATAAAATAAATTTAGTAAATACAAGTCTTTATTAATATATTTGTGAATTCACTGTATTCTGAAAGCTGTGAAAATTACTTTGTAATTAGCCGATGACAAAGACCAATAAATGTTTTATTATTTTGAACGAGAACATTGAGACAGTTTACAGTCAATAAAACTAAAATATCACCTTGAAGAATCTTCTTAACAAGAAATAAAACTAGTTACACCTTTGAATATCTCTGTTTAAAAAGACCTTCAACTGATATCTTTATAATTCTATGACAATGTAACCCCTGACTAAAACTTATTCTAATAATTCAGGCACCTCAAAAAATATAATTTAAATTTTTTTTTTAACAAATCATCCTTCTTTAAAAACAATTATTTGTTTGTGGACCAATAAGTTGTTTACAAAGAAGTTCAAAGTTATTATTGATCCTACATACTTGTTTTGTATGGTGTTCAGATTCCAGTCAAGATGAGCCGCTGTCTGCAAAGCCAGGCTTTTCAACATCTTGGTTCTTTTCTTCTCAACACCATTTGTTGTAACATTGTTCTGTACAGCAGCAATACCGTTACCAAAGTTAAACTCTGTGTTCTGCCCTCCTAAGACGGGAGGTGGCAATTGCTGTGCGGATTGTTGTAAGCATACATTGCCCAGGAAGTGAGCCATAAGCTGAACAGCATTTGGATCTTCAAAACAAGAAGAAAATAACATAATTTATCTATTAAGAAATTATACACCGTACTGTTGATTTGCTGGAACTAGTAATTTTCTCGATTGATTTGAGGGCACCGACAATGACTAAAAGTCACTACGATTCCTTGTGTTGAAAGGAAACTTTTTGACACCACAAAATTTTGCAATTTTGACACACAAAATCAAAGCAGTTCAAAGTATACTTAAAACACTACAGCTAGCAGTTTTATGGTTTAAAACAAATCAGCAACACAAAAAGAAAAAGTAAGTTTCCTGCCCACACAACTGACCCACAGATATGCTTTGAGAAAGTGCGAGACACAATTTCAGATAATTGATAAGTCAGTGAAAATCACAAAATTTTGTACGAGGGAAAATTTCTCTGTAGTCTGCATCATAGTAGTCAGTGACTTTCGTGAAACTTTGTCTTCACAAATGCAATAAACTCCTCAAATGACAAAAATTTAAACAATTATGTGACACTTTTGAAATTCTGATAATTTTTTCGCTCCTTTTTGTCAGATTGATCGCCTGTTAAGGTTGATCAATACAGTCTTTGGAAATTGCAGATAATTTATGAATAGATTTCTTAATTGTTATACAAGGTCACTAATAAATTGGGGTCACAGACAAAAGTTTTTAGTTTGCATAATGAAATTGACATCATCTCAGTCACCCACAGCATCAAGTACCGACTCAACTGGGATCAAGAATATATCTGTCTATTGATACCACTGAAAAAGAAGCGGGACAGGCGTTAATTTCAGTGCTCACAGCTCCATGTTATGAATATTTGAATGTAACTTATTTATGAATTGTTTATTCTATTTTTTTTTTTTATTTCAGGTATGCGTTGTCGCAATTTTATTATATTTTTATTTGAAAATCTAAAAATATAAAGATTTAAATGTGGGGTTTATAATATCACAGATTATGGAAATCACAGTATCTCTAGCAAATACATTATTAATTAAGTATTAATTATAGTATTTAAAAACATGTAAAATTGTATATTAATTCATTTTATAACAAACCCCACTCTATACACATGCAATGATAAATTGCAATACTTTATAATATATTACCTGGGTCATCTTTCGAGAGATGCTGTTGCAGCAAATTTGGATTTAGCAAGAATTCATACCAAACAACAGGCAATGGCGTGTCCTGTCTGCTTGGAGGTCGTCTGGGAACCATTTCACTCATATTTATATTGAAACCACAGCGTGGAAGCTACTTGTTTAGACGGTCTACCTACTAGAAGATATGAAGCAAAAACAAAATAAAAACTTGCTTTACAGAAGTTGAAAGGTCAACGGTTAAATCGTGAGTCTGAGGTCAAACTACGATTCATTCGATCCCGGTTCATGAATATTTAGCAAAATATAAAGATTTAAACGTCACGCGAAATCGGTACGTGTACTACATATCTTCGCTTCGAATCGAGCCGAGATAACAGTGTATTTATCGTAATTCCATCTTTTGTCCGCTCTTTTCGTCAGCTATATTTAAACAGGAAGTAAATGTAAATAGTGCTGTAGGATTGTGGGTAATATTTTGATGATGTCTGGACAAGATCGTCTTGAGAACGTGAACCCCACGATACATTCACGGTTAAATTCACGCAGTGTTACTGAAGATGAGGAAAACGATGACGTAGTGGATGCAATAGACTCAAGAGAAGTATTGATATCCTTTCTGTAATTAATGGAACGTATAATATTGTGGGTTGTGCGTTCACTAATTAAGGGGAGGACCATTTAAAACCCTGGGGTGGACTTGAATGACTGCGTGGGGTCATTTAATATGTTTGGATAATATTTAATACCCTGGATAGAATGTAATTTTTTTTTGTTAGTATTTATTAAGCAGGGCTACAGCAACGAAGACCTAAAAATGTCTAAAATTTTTCGAGTCATGCCTGAAATTGCAAATTTTACTGACAAAAAGGGTTAAACCTTTATTTTGTAGGGGCGACACCCCCCCCCCCCCAACATTTTTTTCGAGGGGACGATCACCCCCTCTTTCTCTCCTGTGCCACTGCCAATAACAACATTATGAGTCAACAAGTTACAAAAAGATTCTCTTGACAAAACCAAACTGAACAGTCTGTTATTACTCAGTTCTTTATGGATGCTGTACACGTATTGATTTTCTAAACTGAAATTTTCATATAAAATATTTACTGAACAACACAAAGCTATATATTGATGGAAAGCTTATTTCACACTGGATATGAAATCGACAAGATAGTGTGTGTATGGATGTATATAGTCATGTGATCTCTGTGTAAACACAGAAAGCCATTTTCGCTAAAAAAATAATTGAACCAATGAATAAACGAATTTAGTGGAACATTGGCAACAAAACAGTTTTTCAGACGACGCTCACCACCATTCCGTGTTAATTGAGATATATATCTACATGATAGTTGGAGAAGAAATAATAATATAGCTATCTTGAAAAAACAATGCGATCTGGTTTATTCCGGTATTCAGAAATTAGAACGTAATTTCAAAACAAATAGGAAAATAGAAAAATCCCAGCGCGGCTTGAGAGGGAACATATCGAAGAGTGTCTGTGCGAAAAATTAGTATAATGCGTCCACTAAAACTCGAGATCAAAGGCCTGCAGTTGCCGTGAATCGCTGTTTTGTTTAACCGAGAAAATGGCAAAAAC